GGCTGATGAGGCACTGGCATGATAGTCAAATTTACAAAGTCATTACTGGGGCCAAACAGTGGCTTCAGTGAATTTAAACTAGTAGTGGAACATTAATAATTACAAAGTGGCGTGGATTTTAAGGCTCAAATATTTTTAAATATATCATCAGACGGCCCCTGGCAACAGCATTCAGGCACGACAGCTCAGCCAGGCTGCAGATTCAAAAGGTGTTCGGTCGCTCCGTGCGTCCTGTCACAAAATGGCCTCTGGCCACGTAGCAGCCCCAGAGCCTGCGGTTGGGACGCGTCCTCTTCTGTTCGGTTTAGGGAGCTTTCACCGAAAGGCTGCTCCATCTTGAACAACCAAACCGAACCAAGTCTCAATATCAACAGACGACAGGTGGGCGAGCAGACATCCAGGAATTTTCTTGCTCCGGGTGCTCGAGAATGCTAACGCCGTGGATAAGACCAGCCATCTCAAAGTGGGATTCGGTACCCTCTCAGACCCAACTCGCTTTTCTCCATGGAAAACTGCCCCATCAGTCGCCCCATGATTGGCTCTTACGCTCACGACTCTGACACTCTGTCTTAGGCTGCTGATAATAATGGCCGCTGGAAGGATGAGAGCAGAAGAGTGATGGCAGAGCGGTGCTTTTCCTTCCAATTTTGCCCTCTGAAAGGCTGCAGTCTTGGTGGATGATACAAACCGCCCCAGTGGGCATTTTGCAGATGGGCAAGGTATCCTGCAGAATCTCAAAAGGGTTTATTTTGAATACATCTTTGATGCATACACGGCATCATCATAACAAAAAAATTTTGTCTTTTTGTGTCCTCCCCACCAAAAAAAAAAAAAAAAAAAAAAAGTTAGTTTTTTCCCTGTACAGAACCGGGCGGAGACAAACAAAGCGCCCTTCAACACCTCCCTTTGCAAAACAACGTGTGGGGAAGCCTTCACAGACAAAACAATACCCACAAAACAATGCTGTAAGATTTCTTCATGTGTCGGTATTCCTGTGCTCCTTGCATCCCGTCTACGCTTGGTGGTTTCCTTTTTCTGAATATGTGCCGCTTGCGCTTCCCTCATTCAACTCCCGCATCTCATCGGGCAGACATTTTCAGCGAAAGAGCGTGTCTGTGACAACACGGTTGTAAAAGCAGGACACTATTTATAATAATACAAGTAAACACTGTCTACAAATTGTTTCTATATATATATATATATA